GTAGAACTTCTCCTTTTCGTCATATACTAGAGAAGATATTCCTACACGACGCTCTTCCGATCTATACTCAATGGAGTTGAAGACTGCCATGAACAGCAGGAAGAACCCTGTGATGATTAGCACCTGAAAAGTGAAGTGTGGACTAATGAAGAGGATTTATGATCATGCAGTACTCTTAGAGATCCTGCTAAATGCTATTATACTGTTTTCCATCACATATACATCCATATCAATCTATTACAAACAATATAAAAATGGAATTATTTTACATTCCCACACATTAAATATGATGCTTTAGAACTAAATTTCCATTTAACTAAAACCTCAAATCTCAACCAACCATATAAAAAACGTCATTCACAATGCCCTAGCCCTCCTGAGAAACCCCAGATAAATATTGGAATGCTTTCTCTCCTTCCCTCCTCCCTTCTTTCCTTACCTTCAGCCACCTTTCTGGCAGGGGTTGGAAGGGCTCAAACCTTAGTTCCGGCGGATGGCACAGCTGGCTCCTGTTCACATGCACCACCTCTCCTCTTACAGCACGCTCCACCGTCCTGTGGGAGTCACACATTCTTTGTAACATACTTCACTTGTTTATTAGACCTTTGTACTTCTATCACCAAATTCTGAACCAGCTCTGGTTAAGCATATGTCCAGGTTTCCTCTTTAGCCAAGGTAACTAAAGACTATTCATTTTTCAGAACTGGCAGGCTACTTTCCCTTCTCTATTTCAGTGCGTACGGGATGTAGTGAGCATAAACTGGAATAGACTTGGTACTTCAGTATCTTTCTTCCAGCCTCAAGGCCACAGAGAGCTTTTCCCTGAACCCCATCTCTACCCTTCCTTCTCTCTACCTGACCTTCCCCTGTGTGTTTGGGTGGCTTTTCCTCCCATCAATTCCTCCCTCTATACACTTTGTAAGCCATCAGAGACTACTGCACTCATCATTCCATGCTCTACCTTTTATCTAGGACCCCCTGTTCTACCAAGATATATTATATATTCAAATAAAAAAATAACTCATCATTACATGAATTACAATGCATAAATTTTCTATTCACTATAAGGCAAAATTACATTGTATATAATTGTTATACTTGCATGATTTATCACCAATACCATCATTCACTGAAAAACATTTTTAGGCCATGGCACATTTCTAAATTTCATCAGAAGCTAGCCATAGAGTAAATAATATATCCAAGTGTCCCCTTGTCCCTCTTCCCTTTTCTTATTCCCCCAGACTCACAAACACTTACCTTCTCCTCCCCTGCAACTCCAGGGGCAACATAGAGCACCCATGAAGCACCAGCTGCCACGATACCAGCCGGCCCTTGAGTTGCTGGTGTCGTGTGTGCATAACAGTCACCTGATATGTTCCCAAGGGGTCCTCACCCCAGCAACGCACAGTCCCCAGAGGCCAGTCACTGAGACCCTTCGAAGAGCTTCAAACACAGCAGATTAGAACTACAAGCCTTTTTTTTATTATATTTGAAAAAATGCTATAGCTGCCTAATAAATTCAATACACAAAAAAACATAATAAGATGTTAACAGTGCCACACAAAATATTGTTCTATTTAACATACTCACTTGTCAGCATCCCTTGGTGTGGCAAGCACAGATCGAGTTCCACTAGGACACACCAGGCTGATCTGGAGGCTGCCCCGGTACTGGTGCTCCACTGTCACACGAACCTATGAAAATAAAGGTTAAATTTTTTTTTAAGTGTGTGTGTGTGTGTGTGTGTGTGTGTGTGTGTGTGTGTGTGTGTGTGTGTGTGTGTGTGTGTGTGTGTGTGTGTGTGTGTGTGTGTGTGTGTGTGTGTGCTGTGTGTGTGTGTGTGTGTGTGTGTGTGTGTGTGTGTGTGTGTGTGTGTGTGTGTGTGTCTATGTATGTATGTATATATTATATATATATATATATATATATATATATATATATTATATATATATATATATATATATATATATATATATATATATATATATGTATATATGTATATATGATATATATGATCATATAGATATGTAGGCAAATACAGATAGATAGATAGATAAAAAGACAGACATATAGATAGACATATATATATAGATAGACAGATAGACAGACAGATATAGAAAGATAGGTAAATATATACATACACATACATATATACAAAGAACGAGAAAAAAAAAAAAGGAGGGAAATAAAATACCTGCACAAACTCCAGGATCCTCAGAGCATAGCCCTGCAGTACCTCCTCAGTGACTTCGTACGAAACAGTGACTTCACCAAGCCTCTGTGACGGAAGTTCACGCTTGACAACCATGCGCTCAGAGGTAAAGGCGGTAGCAAACGGTACGGACTCCCAGACAGTTGCCGCTGAGACCACGGCAGCCGCATCAATGAGGCCGAAGCCATGCTGGTGTGAGTGGTGCAGGCCGGCCCCATTTGTCGACCAGTCTGAGTTGGCCGTGTCGATCTGAGAAGAGGTTGGGGTTACTGTGGTAATGGATACATCATGCATAAGGAAAAATAAAATCATCAGATATATCTTTAAAAATATATATACCGTTATAAAAACAGTAGCATTGACAATGACATGCTTAGTAACACCAATACCAACACTACTATCACTTCACATTGGACATACAATAACAAAGAGCACACTATCATAAGTTGTGCATGTGAGGAATTGGGTAAGAAAACAAATAAACAAACAAATAAATCAAAACATGGAAATAATTGTAACATTAAGAAAGCATGCAGGTAACTACATCAAGAAAAGAAATTCTATACGTCAACTGGCCTAAACGATCCATCAATCAATTTCAGGTCCATTAAAAAATCAATCAATCAAAAAATCAAAACAGAGTGGAAAGTAGGGTGTCATCCTGTTCTGAATTAGGTTGTAATTCCTGACTGATGACAATGGTCCGATCTCATTTTCTTTTGCAAAGCACTAATTAAGATGTGCAAATTCCATCTTTAATAGTTTCAATCTTTCCTGGATGTTTTAGCTCTCTATAATTAAAATGAGAGTAGTACCCATAAAAATTCTTCAGTTATGTACCCTACATTATGGGTAATATTTCAAAACTGAAAAAACTGTAACATGTATTCCTATTCATGGGATTACATCTATCCAATAAAAAATAATATCATACCTATCCTTCCAAAAACTGCTGGGTTTGGGGGAGCATAAACTTGTCAATTTTAGCACTTTTGGCCAGACTGAAGGCAAGCAGCAATTGCCCAACCCAATTAATTTTATAGCCTATTTCATAGACAAATAATAGTTTCTAAGTAAAATCCGTCCAAGTACCAATGATGTATCATGATCCGGATCTATTCAGTCACAGGAGTGTTACTGTGTTATTATTATACGATCTCTCATGGTCTACCAAAACATTCTACACCATGGGGTCAAATCGGGGATGTAGCTATTTATATAAATATGAAAACATATAAACAAACAGAAAACAGATAAACAAACAAACACATATAAAATATACTAAGACCAGCCCTACCTTTCTGGAGGTGAGTGCAATGAGGTACTGAACATCTCTCCATGAGAGACATGGCTGCACCTCTAAGGCCAGTGCCACCACCGCTGCTGCCAAGGGGGCCGCCGCCGACGTTCCTGAGTGATGCTTGGTGCATCCTGTGGCACTGATCTCACGCCAATCCGTGGTTACCTGTAGAGCAAGTTGTAAGTTCTGTTTCACAGTTCTAGTGATGACTGTAAGATTATACTCTTAAAAATCAACTCATTAATCATTTTTCTTGAGCTGTAAAATCATTCATTTGCATTCATATTCTTCTCTCTTCAACTAATCACGTCTCAGTCAAAAAATCATGCATATTATATCCTCTTAAATTCCTGGACAATCATTTTTTCTCTCCTCAAATCACATGTCATGAAAAACTGTCCACTACTTTTGTGAACTATTAACAAATGCACTAACACACACAAGGATTTCTATCTTCTAGTTTCCAAAAACATTGTAACAATAAACGGTAATGAAAATAGAAGAGTACTTCTCCCTTCCTACTTTCCAAAATACATACAAATAAAATCAATATTAATAATTATAAGAAGAAATGAATAAAATGCATATTTTCATCTTCCAAACTCTCAAAGATATACAATAACAACAAAAAGTAATCATTATAAGATAGCTATATCCTATTCCTTGAAAATATTGTAAAATAATAATAAAAATACAATAATAATTAATAGAAATGGGTGGACCCTCCTTTCTATACTCACAATATCATGTCCATTACTGCCAGAGCTGGGCATGACTGCCAGCATGGCAGCACATTCCTCTGCATAATATGGCATCTGCCCCCGAATGTCCACTGCTCCAATTGTTATCGTGTAGATGGAATTAGCATAGCCATCAAAGTTACCTGGTAAAGCAAAAGTTTTCTTTCATTAATCAAACAAAGCGGATGCAACAGATTTGCCTACCTTTTTAAATATATAAAATCAACAATAAATAAATATATAACCAAACAAGATATAAAGCAAAAACTTTCTTTTATCAACTCATTAGAGCTGGGATGCCAGGTCCATGCATGCCATGTCCTTTATGATTTTATCTAATTCCTTTTGTATTCACAGATTACTCCACCATGCTTAACGCCAAGGACTCCGTCATTAGTCCTGATCTCAATATATCTTTTTCTCAGATTTTGGAAAAACTTCATTAATTTTCTTTATACATAGAAGGCTCCACAAGCGCTTAGTCCGCCCTATCTCACCTGTTTACCCTTTTCCTTGACACTTGAAAAGATTCCTTTTATCATAATAATAATTATAATAAGTATAATAATAATAACTATAATAATGATAATTATAATAATAGTAATAATTATAATAATAGTAATAATCATAATAGTAGTAATTATAATAATAGTAATAATAATAATAATAACAATAGTGATAATAATAATAATAAAAAAAAAAATAGTTATAATAATAATAATAATAATAATAATAATAATAATAATAATAAATAATAATAAATATAATAATAATAATAATAATAATAATAATAATAATAATAATAATAATAATACAATAATAATAATAATAATCAATAATAATAACAATCATAATAATAATAATATAATAATAACAATAATAATAATAATAATCACAATAGCAATAATAATAATAATAATAACAATAATAATAATAATGATAATAATAATAATAATAATAATAATAATAATAATAATAATAATAATATAATAATAAAACAAAAACAATAATAATGATCATAATGATATTAACAACAATAACAATGATAATAATAACAAGGAGAAGAAAAAGAAGATGAACATGAAAAATTATCATTAATGATATTAATGGTATTTAACATCAAAACCTTCTTCCCCAAGAAATACAAGAAACAATGAAATGGATGAGGTTAGTTAGGCCTTAATTACTAATTAGCTTCTTTTTGACTAAGTACTTGAGGAGCTATCTATGCATCAACAAAATTTTTTAAAAATTACTACAGTGGACAGGACATGTACCAAGCGGCGATGGGTTAAACTGGAGGCCGTCAACGCTCACATTAACCACAATATCAATGACTATTTCCCTAGAACCAATAATCATCTCAACAACCAATGTTTATCAGTCTCATTGTTTTCCTTTTACCATATATCCTATTATTAGCCCAATTAGTTCTCAAACATTTGAATTAACAGGTAAATCCCCTCAAAGGAATTCTCCACATCAACAACCACAGTACTCTACTGACACATCCAAGCAAGATATACAATCAAATTCACTGCTGGAAGGGAGATAGCACCGAGCATGAAAACCAAAGCAGTAGCCATCAGATTTTAGGGAATTCCAGATAATATATTCTCAGAGCAGCAATTTTGAACTTATATTTCACCTTCCAATAAGATATCTTTAGAGTCTTTGTGCTCTATGATACCAAATGACATAAAAGATGCTCCAAAAGGCCACTCGAGGAAAGGCCAAGGGTACCTTGTAAAGTTATCCAATCTCTGTCAACAAAAAGATTTTTTTTTTAAATTAACCTTCTTCCCATCCATCTCTGTCCCACTTAAATTAATCAACCCTTTCAACAATCAATAACCAACATCCTTACAGTTATCTTTCTTTCTGCCACCGTTGCCTGAAGCCACAACATAGATGGCACCATAGCCTTTCCTGCCATAGGTAATGCCATGTGCCAAGGCCCGGCTAGCAAGGTGGTGTGGCCCATCCACTGTCCGCCCATCATCATCAGGACCCCAGCTTTGGATGGTAAAAGACAGGCAAAATTAAATGAGAATATGAATGCTGAAAAAAAATATCCACTTATTCATACTATATACCAGTTTACATACAAACGCACGCACATGCACACACACACGCACATGACACACACACACACACACACACACACACACACACACACACACACACACACACACACACACACACACACACACACACACACACACACTCACACACACACACACACACACACACACACACACACACACACACACACACACACACACACACACACACACACACACACACATACACACACACACACACACACGTACACACACATGTAAATCCTTAAAATTGGCAAACCATCCTCACCTGCAAGAGTAAATATCATTGACATCTAAACCCTGGATGAACGCAGCTGCCTCCATGGAATCCGTCATGCGACCACCAAGTACACGAATGCCTGAGATGTTAGCACGGTAGGCAACCCCAACACCACACACGCTGTTGGCTGCAGCAGCAATCTCACCCGCACACCTTGTTCCATGCTCATTCCGCTCTGGAGGAGTAAATGACAATTTAGTGACAGTAGTAAAAGGCAAATAAAAAAACTATTGTCTAAAAAAGAAAAAAAAGAAAAATTATCTATTACAGTAAAAATAAGCTGCATCTGAGCATTCATTATCACCCATGACTAACCAAACTGCTTTAAAATCATTTCAATTTATATGTATTAGTAACAGTAGAGGTAGATGTAGAAGTAGTAGAAGTAGTAGAAGTAGATGTAGAAGTAATAGTAGTAGTAGTAGTAGTAGTAGAAGTAGATGTAGAAGTAGTAGTAGTAGTAGTAGTAGTAGTAGTAGTAGTAGTAGTAGTAGTAGTAGTAGTAGTAGTAGTGTAGTGCTGTAGTATAAATAGTAGAAATAATAGTATAGTAGCAGAAGTAGAAGTAGAAGAAGTAGTAGTAGTAGCTGTAATAGTAGTATTAGGAGAAATAGTAGTAGTAGTAGTAGTAATAGTAGTAGTAATAGTAGTAATAGTAGTAGTAGTAGTAGTAGTAGTAGTAGTAGTAGTAGTAGTAGTAGTAGTATAGTAGTAGTAGTAGTAGTAGTAGTAGTAGTAGTAGTAGTAGTAGTAGTAGTAGTAGTAGTAGTAGTAGTAGTAGTAGTAGTAGTAGTAGTAGTAGTAGTAGTAGTAGCAGCAGCAGCAGCTAGTAGTAGTAGTAGTAGTAGTAGTAATAGTGTAGTAGTAGTAGTAGTAGTAGTAGTAGTAGTAGTAGTAGTAGTAGTAGTAGTAGTAGTAGTAGTAGTAGTAGTAGTAGTAGTAGTAGTAGTAGTAGTAGTAGTAGTAGTAGTAGTCGTAGTAGTAGTAGGAGAAGTAATAGCAGTAGCAGTAGTAGTAATAGTAGTAGTAGCAGAAATAGTAGTAGTAGTAGTAATAGGAATAGGAATAATAATAGTAGTAGTAGAAATAGCAGCAGCAGCAGCAGCTGCCGCCTTCCCCCTCGCCTTCTTCCCCTCCACAACTGCAATCCTCTCCCCCTTCCCAAAACTCTGAATCTCACAACACATCTCCATCTTTGCCCTCATCCTGTAACCTAAAGCATCCATCTCCTCTCCCCATAACCATTGAACCACATCTCCATCCCCACCCCAAAGCCTACAACTTCCACCCTCTCCCCTCATTACAACCCACCCCCCATAACTACCCCTAAAACCACAACCTCCATCCATCCCTTCCCCACCATCACATAACCCCCATACCTCCATTCTTAACAGGCGAAGGGTCGGGGTCATCGGCATTGAGGTCATAAGATCCAGCTGGGTTGTAATTATCCCGCAGATCCGGGTGCCGCCACTCCAGGCCATCGTCAATCACGCACACTGTCACACCACGTCCCGTGATTCCGCTCTCCCACACCCCTAGGACGTTGATGTCGTACTGGCCTCGCACTGGATTTCTCTAAAATATGAGTGTGGGGAGGAAGTAAAGGGATGGAGGAAGAAAGAGGGGGCATTAAAATATGCTATCTTACTTCCTGATAATGGAAGTATTACAAAGACTTACTGAAATCATGTCAAAGTTAAAACAATTAAAAATCATACAATTACTAAAACAAGTTGTTACCTGTTATTCTCATTTTATCAATCTAATCTACTTAGTCATCAAGCCTTAACACAAACGCTCTTGAAAAAATGGATAATGAACTAGGTCAGCAATCATCAATTCACATAAGATACAAGTGACCGTGCTGCAAAGTGCAATATATAATGATTGATGATGGTGATAATGATGATGGTGATAATGATGATGGTGATAATGATGATGGTGATAATGATGTGATAATGATGATGGTGATGATGATGGTGATGGCAATGGTGATGTATTTTCTGTGAATTTTGTTGCACACAGATGGCTCCACAAGTGCTCAGCCACCACAGAGTCAATTAGTAAGCCCCAATGATGGCACTTGATTTCCCTATTCCCTGAGATTGTAGGAAAATTATCTTTCCCAAAGGGTGTTAATACCAGTACTGTTTTTACCATTACTGACATCATGATCACTATTATCAAATGGAAAAGAATCTTTTGAAAAATAAACAAACTGGGTTAAATTCATTACTATTTCATCCAAAGTGGCTTTTCTACCATTCAAATGATTTTTTTTTTTTTTTTTTTGGTCAAAATCCTAGCATTAGACAATTTTGGATGTTTCACAGCATTTAGATTTATAAATCTATTTTTGCATGTAACAGACAAGAATTTTATAATTTACTGCTTTTATCACTTGCTAATAAAGTTATCCCACTGGAAAGTGGGTTGATTTTATTACCATTTTTTATGAACTGCAGATTACTGAAGGCTTTTTATATTGCATTTTTTAAATTTCCTTACCTGGACATTAGCAATTATACCAAACACAAAAAATTCAAGCTTTATAGCCTATACATTAAACAGCAATTCAATTGTAATGCATATACAATAAAAACAAAATGTGTATATATCATAAAATATGTAGGTAAGTATATATATATATATATATATATATATATATATATATATATATATATATATATATATATATTATATATATATATATATATATGTATGTATATGTATATGTATATGTATATGTATATGTATATGTATATATGTATATATATATATATATATATATATATATATATATATATATATATATATATATATATATATATATATATATATATATATATATATATGCAGACTATATGTACAAGTATCCACATTCATAAGTATACAGATGTATGTATATATATGCATATAAATTTATATGAATATATAGGAGTGTGCATAGGCCCTACATATGTGTGTAGACCCTACATACACATGTATACATGTGTATGTTTATATATATATATGCATGTATATATATACATATATGTATATATCTATATAAATATGTATAGATATGTGTGTGTGTGTGTGTGTGTGTGTGTGTGTGTGTGTGTGTGTGTGTGTGTGTGTGTGTGTGTGTGTGTGTGTGTGTGTGTGTGTGTGTGTGTGTGTGTGTGTGTGTGTGTGCGCATGTGTGTGTGCGCATGTGTGTGTGTGTGCATGTATGTGTGTGCGCATGTGTGTGCGCATGTGTGGTGCGCATGTGTGTGTGCGCGCATGTGTGTGTGTGTGTGTGTGTGTGTGTGTATGTGCATGCATGTGTGTGCGTGCGTGCGCATGTGTGTGTGCATGTGTGTGTGTGTGTGT